AATTCTGGGAGTTGAAGTCCACACGTCTTAAAGTTGCCAAGGTTGAGAAACACTGGTCTACATACAGAACCACCAGGGCTGTTGCCACCACAACTATCTTCTTCTGGTAAGAAGGACCACTTCCCCCTTGGCTACTGTTCATAGATAGTAGCCAAATGCTGCTTTCGACTCTTTCTCCCTGAATTGGCAGCTTTCCAGGGTGATGATTTCCTAGAATTCCAGTCTTGCTGTGCTGCAAGTTCAAGTTTTGAAAACTGGTGTGAAATTCACTGGCATTTCTCTGACTTCTGAAATACGCCAGCCCTTCCTAACCCTCTAGATGTGTTGGATTTACAGTATTTAGTATTCCCAGCCAGCACACCATAAAAGAATCATTTCTGTAATGAAATTCACGGCATATATGAAGGATAAGCAACCAATGATCTTCAGAGCAATATTAATGACTTAAGGAGATTTTCATCTTCTGTAAATTACTGGGTGACTTTCCCTATAAACTGAAAGGGAGTTTTTTTTAAAGTGAACCAAAAAAATGGTAAATATTGTTGATGCAAGGTATTATTGTAGGGAATCATACAATACAGAAGACATAAATTAGAGGGTTTTTTAAAAAAAAAGTTAGAATTAGATATTTGTCTCTTAAAACAACAATGAACCTTATGGCAAAGTCGAAGGTGGCTTTAAACTGCTGAGAAAACGAGCAAGTTCTTTCCTCTTGTTAAAAGGGCAAGCCTTCTAAAAATACACACAATGCTTGCAAAGCAGGGGTTTGTTTTTCCAAGCTTTTATTTTAAATCCCCGACAAAAGTGGAATGTGAATTATTTAAGATGTTATATGATATCGGGCATTGTTTCATAGCTTCAGTATTAGGTAAGCTTACCTTATGAATTGCTCAAGTATGCATGGGTGTGGGAACCGGTCAGCGTCTTTTTCTTCTTCTCTACAGTGTACAGTGAATGTAGCATGTGGAATACTTGAATTATAAGGAGAAATGAAGAGGGAAACATTTTCTCATCGCTGTGTCTACGTGACTGCAAAACGTTTTCTCTGTTGTCAGCAAGAGCTGTTAGGCACAGAACGTCTAACCCCTAGTTTAAAGGATTCTCCTGAAAGCTTTGTACTTCAGAAACCGGGATGAGCTAATTGGGTATTATATTATAGTGATAACAATATGCAGCAAATATGCCATTTCATCCTTGTGCATTTCTTTCCCAGATTTCTGGCTAGATCAAATTAACGTCATATGATCTTTTTAATTATTTCCATCTATTGGGTCTTCCAGTTTGAAGGGTAGATTGATGGCTTCTGACATCCTTCTAGCATTGCTGCCTTCTGCAGTTGCGTTTAGCTTGGTTCTTATAGATGTTACTTTATTTGATTTATATCCTGCTTTTCTGCTCTGCTGAGCAGTGCAGGCAGCTAACAAAATTAAAAGCAAAAACACATATAAGGAGTTAAAAAGAACTGATTTTAAACAACTGTAAAATAAATGCTGAAGTCATCGAACAAATAGGGAAAGAGATAGGCCTTTGTAGATTGTCTAAACACTGAGGACAAAATGTATCTATCAAGGAAGTGCATTCCATAGCTAGGGAGCAACTTTGCAGAAAACCCTTTCTTACGTGTACGAAAAAGTTGGCTTCTGACAGGGGAAGCATCTGCAAGAGACCGTTTTCTGCCAGTACTAGAAAGCGGCCCCGTAGATTATACTGATGTATGCTAAGATTTAATTTTATTTTGTGAATCATCCAGTGAAGTTTGGAAAAAGTGTATTGCTTATTATTTTAGATGCAACATGAAAGATGTAAAGAAGCAAAGAAAAAGAATGAAAAAAAGAAAACAAAAACCCAATAGACTTGCATATACTTATCAAAACTAGTCCTACGTATGCCATACAATGTACTATTAATAACTAAGGACGTGTATTTAACAATAGAAAAAAAATAAAAGTTTGAAATAA